GGGGGGGGGGTGGAGGGGGAGGGGAAGGAAGAGAGAAATTCATCGATTAGCGGAGTACGAGAAGAACCGCATACGAACGACGATTCAAACTTGATGAGGGGAAGGACACAGTGATCTCTTAGTGATTTATATAGCCCACACGCAAGACTATTTAACAAATTTCTTTGTAATCCAATGAGACTCAGGCTGGTACCAAAGGACGCTAATAATTACTTTTACCTTTTTTAGTCTGATCTTTTGTAATTTACACGTAGGGAGCGGTTGTCGCACGAACGAGTCGATCTCGTTTCTCGTCGTAACGTTGTCGCCCGCGAGGTAGTGCGGCTATCAATCGTGATTTCCATCAGCGCCGGGTGTACCCTCAACAGTAGCAGCGCGATGATTATTATCGCACTTCCGAGTAAACGATAGATACTTGGAAAATAGGCAAATAGCATGAAGTACTCGAGATCGAAATCCACCGAGGGTAAAAAATCCGCACGGTTTGTTTCGGAAGGCGCATCTGAAGTTTGTCGAATCGACACTTAATACGTGTGTCTTGAAATTAAAATCTATGAAAGAATAACGAGTGCAAACATTGGTATCTTCCACTGAAATATATCTTGGTAGGGAGGAGGGAGAGAGAGATTTCCTTTTACTGCGGGATTTCACCGTAATAATCCAGATTTTCAAAGAATCGCTGTCATTAGAGAAAACGAGTATTTTGAGTGCGTCGTTAATCCGATACAGCCGAATTTTGATAAGAACAATGGGACTATGTGTTAAAAACGTGTTATTGCGATGTATATTGGATGCAATTCCGAAAATCAACCAGGAGATCGCGCTGCACATGTCGTACAGATTGCGGACCCGAAGGGGCTTCGATTAGGGGTGTTTCATAGTCGTACAGATTAACCGATCCACTGCCAGACTAATCCTAAACGGTCGGGCGTGTCCAACCGGCCAACGAGTTTCATACAAACTTTGATATGACGAAACGTGTAATTAAATTCGTCCCGCTTGCTCGTAGGGACAAATCCGGTCGCGTGTACAGGAAACGATAAATTACCGTGTAGTACGTCGCGTTTCTAGTCCGATGATAATCACTTTTCGTATTAACAACGCTTCAGGAAGGCTCCACGCGCTGCGGCACGCGCACGTTTTAACAATCTCGAGATGTAGTAATAAACGAACGCACGCACGGTAGAGTAATAGTGAGCCCTCGAACTATGTATTCTATATTTCAGCGGGAAGAAAGAACGATGCACGTTGGAGTCTTCGGCTAAACCGTACAATGTAAATACATATATATTACGAATGTACCACGTACGAATATGCGAAATATGTGTAAAAACCAAGAAAAATCGAGCGATTTTGGAGTTCTTAGTACGAAATAATTCCGTATAGACATATTTCCCGGTGCTCAAGCTACCCGAAAAGATAGCGATGAATAAGATATGCGCTTGAAATATTTGGAGAAATTACCGCTACGAATTTATTTCCGCATTAAATTATTTTAATTTTACTTTCATATTTTATATCTTAAAAGACATTTTGCGATTGTGATACGGGAAATGTATATTATCGTTCGCTTTTATCCGATCGGTCGAATTAGTTCTCGGCTCTAGAACGCTCTACAACAATTCCGGAACGGTCTTTTTCGACCGAAATTGTTGTTCAGCTTCACTTAGCACGACACGATGTAGAATACTCCTTGAGCGAGTCGTCTCGTTTAGACTCCACCGTGCACGAACGACTACGTACCGTAGACGCCACCGCACGTATTATAATGCACTATCGTCACTACTGCCGCTGGACATTCGCATTGTCACGGCTAAAGAATCAGGCGCGCGCAAGCCTTTTATTTTTGTAATTGCTGCAGAGCATTGCAGAGACGTCGGGTGAAAAAAGCGGTTCAGAGGAGGGGGGATTCGAGCGGAAGATGCGAACAATTCATTGACTCGGCTCGCGTACGTTACGCGTTAACCGCGTCGCTCTTTTCTACATCAAACGCCATCGCTCCATCCACGGATCCTCCTCTACGATCCGCTATCATGTTTTCGATCGCAATCGCACAGAGAAAAAAAGTTTGCTTGAATTAACGTAATAATGAACGAACCAAAAATGTTTCAGTTGAGAGAGATAGATGCTTCATATAAATCAGATTCGATTCCTTTGACCAAGAATCCTTTGTTTTCTTGGACTAAAACATGACCGGTTCGTTCATCACCGCGTTAATTCAACCGATCCTTTTTTCTAAGTGCATATTTTAAAAAGCGAAAACCATTGTCACTACACTGGCTGCACTAACGGAGCCGGTGTTACTGCCGTTAATAACATAACGAGGGTCGCTGCATCATGGGAAATTCAAGAGCCGAAATTCACGATACTAACCGTAAACCTCCGGTGTGCAATCTCGTCCCCTCCCCTCATGCTCCAAATCCTCGTTTCGGCGAATGCCGGCTTTATCGCGGACAAAGGCCCGGCCGGCTGACTCTAGCGCGCAAATGATGCAAATTATATTTTCACTTGTTATTCGCTATACTATTATCGCAATCGAGCTCAGGACCGTCATTATATTACGCACTGATATCAATGATCTTCGACCGATGTAACACGAATCGATTGGTAGTCGCACGGTAAAGACGACTCGCGGGCCGCTTCGATTTTCGGTAAGCCGACGTTAACTTGCTCCTCGAGGTGCTACTTTATCCCACCATAGAAAAAAACATTATAATCATATTTGTCTGTAGTACGATTCTTTCGCAATGCGAACGTAATTACAGGTATTATTGTAATTCTGTATTATATAACTGTGTACTGTAATTTCTTTTGTAGTCTATGAAATGCACACGATTCTGTGTGAAATGATTGAAATGATTTTATTTGTTACATCAGTATAGTCTAATGCGAAAGATAAAGCATTTTCGACAAATCATAGTGTTAGACAAATTAGATAAAAGTAATGTTGATACAGAGACACTAATACTTTTTTTGTTCTTATGGTGGAATGAAATAACGCCCGAAGATGTGAAATGATCAAGTTTTTGAACATGTAGTTCCGAAAAAGTCTACTAGTCGATTTTCGTGAAATTAATTATCCATTAATTAAATAACAAAATTTTTCCAAACACTTCCGAATAAATATATTTAAAAGTGTGCACATGGAATTTTCAAATGTTTACTGAAATTGAAACTTGGTTTGAGATCGTTCCGTAACCATGTCTAAATTTTTGAAAAGAATTAATCCGTTTCAACATTATCCCAGTAATTTTTATTTGTACGAAAAATCTGTTTACGTGTACATTTGAAGAAAACATTTGCAACATGTTTGACAGTTTCATGAGAATCGCGAGATGCATTTCGGAATTACAGCTGTTTTGAATAAGGGAGACCGGGTCTGAAAGTTATAAAACTTATATCTCACATAATAAATAAAAGAAAACATTCTTCTTTATAATATAGTTTGCTTGTATCATGTTAGTCGGATATACGAAATGGCTTACAGTCAAAGCGTATTGCATATGGTATTTACAAGCATTTTTTTTCTTTAATTGGATGCGTGAGTAAATTTTTTCTCGTCTCTATTAACGTTCTGTTGGTTTCAGGATTACCAATCGCAATTTCTCTTTATTTGTAAGAAATATTATACCTTTTGCTCATTTTTCCAGTACTTAATTCATAGTTACTACAACATTATTTATAAATATAATCTCTTTGATGGAAAATGAACATTTGGGGTGAATTGATTCAAATCCAGTAAGACTGGTTGTCCACGTTTAAATAAACAATTTTTTCAACATAAAAGGCATGTGACAATTAATCTAGAATATGGAATAAGATGTTACATTTGCGCGACCTTGTTTACGATTAAATAACTTCTTTGCGGATAAATACATATAAGATTAAATAATTGTTTTCTTTTACGTAAAGCGTGTGGTTGCATTATAATGTACACGATATTATGAAATATTGCAGACAACTATTTGTTTTAATCAATATGTAAAAAGTGTGACGACCAGATCCGGTCTCCCCTACAATGTGAAATAGACCAAGACGAGATTGGGACATGCACGCGCGCGCGAGAGAGAGAGAGAGAGAGAGAGAGAGAGTTTGTGCTGAAATGTACAGAGGCACACGTTAGCACATCGTATAAATACCGCTATCTCTTATACATACCCCACGTGTAAGAAAGTAAACGATAATTGGCAAGCCGTGTAAATAGAACCGGGGAAATTCTACCCGTGTGTAGCATAGTTGTATCATAGCGATATCGTTACCGAAACCTTTTCCCGTGCGTGCGTGCAAAGACGAAAAAATTGAAATTTAATATATATACATAAAAACTATATATATATAAAGAGAGAGAGAGAGAGAGAGAGAATGTATGTGTGTAGTGTGTGTACGCGCATGCGAATGTGTGCAAAAGAGAAAGAGAGAACAAGAGAGAGAAAAAGGGAGTAAGAGAGAAAAAGAGAAAGAAAAAGACGAGGAGATATAAATAGGATAATATAATTTTTAAATTATTTGTAACGGCGGGCGCACACGCATCGCGACTACAGCAATGTGACGAAATGCGACGGAAAGGAGAAAAAGACGGAGAACCGACTAGATCTTTCCTTTTTCGGAGCGAGAAGATGAAAGGACGACGCGTCGGGGGCATCGTATGCAAAGGAAGAATCTTATGATCATGGTTCCTCTTAAGCGTCGGGAGTTTCCCCTCTTGCTCCCCGAAATAGTGCACGCTCTTTTTCTAGACGCGCCTAGAGCGAATACCTCAACACAAAGAAATAATCACCCTGTTGTAAATATAATTTTATATACGCGAGGCTGCGACCAGAGTGGTTTGCGCGATCGACGCAGCGGGGCTGGTTTAAAACCGTCGTATAGTTAAAGCTTCGGGGCCCAAAACGATAGCACTGTCGCTGAAAGCAAAAAACTTAACTCTCGTTCCATGAACGTGAAAAAACATCTAACACACTATGAAA